GATGGATGGATGGATGGATAGATGGATGGATGGATGGATAGATGGATGGATGGATGGATAGATGGATGGATGGATGGATGGATGGATGGTAGTGCATACCCATGCAGCAAGGCCCCAAACCCAGTGAAGGGCCAGGGGATTGGCAACCATCGTGCATGATGCTCAACAGCCCCAAATCCTGCGGTGTTGTGGTGCCAGCACACATGGCTCAGGAGTGCGATTCCTGGGGATGGCAGCCGTGCAGCCACACACAGCTGAGTCTAGCCCTGGGGCAGGCAGAGTGGCCGGTCAGGCCAGGGCTGGCCACTTCTAGGCTGTTCCTCCTTAGCAGGGAGCATGTGGTGCTGCTGCCTTGGCTGGGGCGGCTGCGAGGGGTGAATGGCTGTGCCGGAGCTGCTCCCAGCCTCCTGCTTCGGCTTCCTGGGCTCTGTTGGGGACACGGGGTTTTGTCAGCTGGTGGCAGAGTCCCCTCAGCACCCAGGGGAAAGGTTTACTGATAAATAAACACCAAGGATCGAGTATGAAGAATGGATATGTTTGAAGAGTGCAGCCCTGGCTGGGTGCAGGCTGGGACAGATGCCTGGGTTTATAGACCTGAGTTTTGCCTGCGGACGTGTAACACGTAAACTTGTGTAAATCTTTACCAGGTACTGGTGTCCCTCAAGAACACTTTGCCCTCGTTATTTGCAGTGCCAGAGTGGAAACACACCGTGGTCTGTCTGTCCCAGCAAACCCTGCCGAGGTAGGTAAATATGTTCATTCTCATTTTACAGATGGATAAGCAGAAACAGAGAGATACCAAGTGACTTGCCCTAAAGGTTAAACACCAGGTCTGAAACATAACCCAGGACTCATGACTGAAGAACTTGTGGGGTTGTTTCATTAAAGATATCCAGGAAATTAAACTATTTGAAGTTGACAGAGCAGGTATTGTAATTCACAACCTCTTCTGCAATGTGGTCTTCTAAATTCACAAAACTAATTCAGTTTCACAATACTGTCATATAAATCACAGCATGGTTTTGTTTTTAAGCTTCAGTACAACTAACATTTTTGTCACACTAACAGAAAGTGTTTTACTCTGCTGTGGTTAGAAACTCCTCCGGTCCATGGCACACAGGCAGCAGCATCATTCCATGTGTGCCTGTGTGAGGACAGAGTGTTTCATTCCCGCTGGATTTTTTTCTGTCCCATATTTTTTCAATTTTTATTGAAGTTTTCTCCTCCTATTTTTATTTTTTGTTGTTTCATTGCCTTATAGAACTCCTATCCTCCCCTAAACCTAAAATGGGCTAAAGCTGCCCTCTGGAGCTCCTTGCCTCTGTACTCTTTCATGCCTTGCCACAACAATGCACTGTGTTCCAGCCCGGGGGTGACCCTGAGGCGTGGCATCAGGGATTGAGTCAGAGTTGCAGCCATGTGCTGGGGTGGGCACCGTCACCCGTAACCGCGGTCACTTTTCAGAGGTAGCTGAAACCACCAACATTTACTGTGTGGGTAGTTAGGTGCAGTGAACTTGTCTGTGTCTGTCCTTCTCTGCAGTGTTCATGAGCAGTAGCAAGTGGGAGTATTTTAATTTGATTCTTTAAATGATAAAAAATCAGTTTTGTGTCATGTCCTATCCTTGTGGTTGGTGAAGCAGCTTTACAGTCCTGGGGTGTCTGTGTTTGTGCTGGGTTGGAAGTCATCTCAAAGAAACAAATTTCAGCATTTAACCTCAGTGGGAAGCACTTGATCACCTCTTTGCTTATAACATTGCAGTGGTTGAATGCCTAGCAAAAAGAGCTGCTGAGATAATTTTTTATTAAATATATCTTTGATTATATGTGGGTTTGGTTAAGTGCTGTTTGCATTTTCATTAATGTCACTGAAGTCAAATTGCTCTACAGCAAGATACTGATTTCACTATTTTTTTTCAAGAAACAGTTTTCTGTTTTCTGAAGCCACTTCTGCCCACAAGAAAGAGAGCCAGGGGAACTAAAAATAGGTATTTTTTATCCAGATACAGCATTTTCCCACAAATTAATGTTGTAAAAACAGCGTAAAAGTTTTTTCACCACTTCCAGTAGGGAATGCTGCACAGTTATAAACGTCAGAATCTGTCACAGGATGGATTTGGTGTTCTGTAGCTTCTGGTCTCTTTGGGTCTGCTCGCTTTGTGTGTCTGAGCATGCTTGGAGGAAGGCAGGGGAGGTTAGACTCCACGCTTTCTTCTTCCTGTTTCCGTTTTTCTGCTAGCGATTTCTGTTTTCCCCCATGGATACATCTCCCCTCCAGGCCTGTTTAACTGCCTTGTGTTTACAGACTTCTTATCCTTGCGGCTTGTTGAAAGACATATGGCAACTCTCACAGTCAACAGTGGATTTTAGAAGGAAGTTCTCTGTCAACTTTCTGCTTGTGAATGCAGATTTTTAAAGCAACGAATGACATAATTTTGGTTTATATGCATTTGGAAATTTCTGTCTAAGCGCTTCAGTTTATCTGTTTCAGGTGCAGTGAACCAGGGCCACTCTGAAACCCGCAGGAAATCTTTTGTTACCTGGAGACCCACATGTGAGCAGCGTGGTGAGTTGTGTGCTCCGAGTATAACAGAGATGCTTGATTTCATTATGGCAAAGTCAATCTAAATACACTCATCTGATTACAGCATAGTAACTTTTAAAGAAGCCTCATACCCCACAGATTATTTTTTTTTAAGTGCTAAAATTCAGAAAAAGATAAACCGCAAATTACACGCATGCCTGCATTCAGGTCTTTGTTAGATTATATCGAAGTTATAATTTGATTCCATCATTCTCACAATACAAGCTATTATATGGGTAATGCGTGTTGCACATTGCCCTGGAGCACAGCTGGTTTGAGTTAGAGGAATATCTCTGCAATCTCATCCCTGCCAGCAATTCCCATCCCAAGCCCCCCCACTGCATACAAATGCTACTTTAGCTCTCCTAAACTCAGAGTGATAACTATGGAGGGTTTATCTCCGTTGGATCGAAACAATGCTTGCTTTTAGATAAGGATTGTTTTATGGGTGCTGGCTATAGATGTTAAGAGCCCTGTATTTCTGCAGAGCATTCCTCATTTTGCAGATGTGGTCTGGGCTGCATCTGAGCATTAAAGCAGTGCTGGGCTCCTCACCCCATGATGGATGCTCACTGTGGGACAGTCCAGCCGGGAATGACATGGCTGGTTTTAACTGAGGAAAAGCCATCTTTAGTCTGTTCAGTGTCCTGCAAGAGTATGTATACCAAGGGTGGAATTTTGAAACAGGTGTAGCTCCCTTCAATCTTTTTAAAACTGTAGCCCTTCTGTAGCACTTGCTTAGCCCCAGTCTCCTTCTTTATATTAAAAAAAAAAAAGAATTATAAACTAAAATTTAGGACAGTTCCTGTGTTTATGGTTATTAGAAACTGCTGAGTGAACCCTGACTTCTGTGAAGTGCTGCATGTGGGAGAAGAGCTGGAGAAACTGGTTTTCAACATTTGTGGTCCTTTAGACTCACTGCTTAAACCTAAGAGTGGGAGTTATTCTCCAGCTGTTGGCTGCATTAACTAAAAAAGTGGGAAAGCCCTTATAAGCATAAGGAAAGTAGGCATTGCATGAGGGGCATCGCCAAAGAAATGATGTTGAAGTTGATTTCGGCATTAAGCATCTGTGCACTGCCATCCAGTGGGCACTGGGGAATTGGCTCCCTGTCGCCCACCTCTAACGGCCCAGCTCTGCAGGGAGGTACTGCCCACTGCTGTGCATTTTCAGTGAGCAGAGGGGCACCCCCACATGGTCAGGGGTTCCTAGTGCTCCCATTGATCTGTCTCAGTGAAGAGATGGGGATGGAGGAGTGACAGTACCCTGGGGACCGCCAGCTGTCAGCAGGGATGGCTACTGAAGCCCACAGCCCTTCATCTGCATCACCCCAGCCCAGCCTGTGCAGCCCCGTGTGGGGTTGTGGCACTGCCAGAGGTTACTGAAGGGTTCAGTAGAAGACAGGGTGTTGGGAGTCTGTCTTTGAGGCAGTTATTTGCAGCTCTCTGAGCAATCCTCCTTTTGCGTTTCCAACCCGTTACAGTGAGAAGCCCTAGGCACAGGAGTGTATTATAGAGCTCCTGCAAAGACTACATCCTGATTACTTAATCAGCTGGTTTATTAAAAGGTATTTCCTGTTTCCATATAAACTCATATGGAAAAAAAACAAGAGAAAATTACATTATTCACTGTGCCAAAGTACTGTCGGCACCTTTTGTATTTACAGAGGACAGCTCTCTGTGCTGGGAAGCTCAGGAGGTGGAACAGAGATTTCAGTTACATTTTACCTGATGGTCTGTTCAGACCCTAACTTTTACATGTTCCATACTTGCTTTCCTGCTCTGTGATTTCATTTTTAATGGCTATCACTTGTTCCTCCAGTTGTCTCAGTTGCTCTGCCTTGTCTTGTTTGGTTTGATTCAGGTCCTGAAGCTTCTTCTCCAAATCTGGAAGAGCAGAGACATGCAATGATGCTCATATTTGTTGTGTAAGTAAAATTCAGGGATTAACAGCATTTCTTTTCCCAGCAGTTTTAGAGGCAATAAGACCATTTCAAATGGGGAATGTTATATATGCAACTGGAAGGAAAAGTCTGGCTTCCAGATAGCAGGAGAAACGTGACAGCCTTAAAGAAATTAATTTCTCAGCATGTGCTTTTGTCCATCAGCTGGGGTAGAGCAGGACACGGATCTCTTAAAGGAGTTGGTTTAAATAGAAACACTCAGAGGAACAGTATGTCCACTGACATGTGTAAAGCCTAGAATCAGGCGCAAGGGGCTTAGGTCTCCCTCATCTGCAGGAATGTTTTCTTCTGGTCCCTGTGAAGCTACACCAGTGTAAACATACTGTTAATGAATCAAAACCACATTGTTCACTGCCTGTTTCCAAGGCACTTATCATCCGGGCATTTGGAGTGACTGGGATGCTCTTAATGCTTCTCCTCAAGGTATATGCTTGAAATACTTATTCAGACCTTGTCCTGCAGAATTTGCTCCTGGGATGGAGTTTATGCTTCAGTTTTACTGAAGTTACATGGTATTTTCGGATGTTGAGCCCGGCAGGATCCTAGGCCCAAGGAATCCCAGTGGGAGTGCCCAGACCTTCACTATAAGCAGAATTAGGTTCCCTGTGTGCAACTACATGAGATGTGCTTTTCATTTTTGGTGACTCTCTAAAACCACCTGAGGGTCACAGTGGAGGACCGGTGCTGGTATGGCCACAGCAGCTGCGGTCTCCGCTGCCTGTGACCCCCGGCCTCCTGGCCATGGCCCCACAGGCCCAGGGCACCTCAGCTTCAGCCTCCACAAGCCAGTATTTGTACCTGGTTTGTTCTGCCATTGCTCAGAGATAATGTCTGAAGGGGAATGAGTATGGACTGGTGGAAAAGATCTACCCTGCAGCTCTATAACAGAAGCTATCATTCAAGTAATGTAAGAAAAGACAGAGCACAGAGGAAAGATTTAAGGTCCAAATGCCCAAAGTAAATGCATAAGTCAAGGCTTCCAGCTAAATCTGGAGCCAAGTTTTATGCAGATTTTGCACTTGTCTTGTTTTTAAACTGTCTGAATCGAATCACTGCAAGTCCCTGTGTGGACACTTCTTAAACTCTGCTTATAGCAACCAATTTATGTCAGAAAAAGTACATAAGCCGAATCAATTCAACTACTTTTAAAATGTTTGAGTAGCTTCAAGCAGGGATTTTCACCAGCTAAATTGTTTTAAACCCAATTTCAGGTGAACCTAGGCTGCTAGTGTTTGTGGGCAAGGACTTCTGTTTAGTTCATGACTGTCACAATTTTCACTGCTCGCTATGGAAGTGAGAACACCACCTGTTATTCTTTTAATTTTTTTTTCAGTCTCTTCAGCCAGTTTTTCTGCTTCTTCTTTCAGCCGCTTCACTTTTTCTAGTGTTACTTTTGGAGGTCCTTGGGCTTTTAGCTTTTCTTGAAGCATGGTGTACTTTCTTTTAATGTCAGCAAATTCCTGTAACAAAGCATCTCATCAGTTTGAAAGCATCTCATAATTAATCTGGTGTACTGAAGGAGATTTTTATACTTTTTTTAAATATCCTCTCTGAACCAAACTCTAAACCTCTTATTCTCTTAAATCTTTTAAAAAAAAAAATCCATAATGAGTATACATTGAACAATGCTTTGCAAAACCTGATAGAAATCAATTAAAACTAACTGCCAGAGGAGCAATCTACAGGCAGGATGAGGATGTAAGGAAAACATGGATCAAGATTTTGAAAGCTTACACTGTTTTTACTTCTTTTGACAAGGCTTTTCTCTTTTGCCATGAGGCTTAATTCAAATTTAACTAATTATCTGTAGCAATGTGTTTTTTAACATTTTTGACTGTAGTAATATTTACTGGCTAATCCTTTGCTGTTGAGGCTGCAATTTAGATTTTGACTAGGTTTCTTATAACCTGGAAGCTTGGTAATGCTCGAAGCTTGTGCTGTGGATGCCTCGTTCTCCTCACCATTTTAGCAAATTTTTAGCTCTATTCTTAAAAATTGAAGCTACTGAAAAGCACCCAGCCAACCAAAACCTCCAAGTAATTCCCACAGCAATTTCTCTGAAGGAGAATGGCACATGATGAATGGCCATGCTGCTTCCATCACTCACGTATTCTAATATCTGGTTTTGTGATTTGCTCTGTTGTGTTTACTGGTGCCCATGGTGACTACGCATCTTATACACAGTGCAAGGAAAAATGTCACGGCGTAGCCAGAGAAATGTGTATGTTTTCTTTCATTCAAGCAAACAGAAGTCTTATACACCAGAAGCCTTAAAATAAAAAAGAAATTATTCTTAAGCTGTGACATTTTATTTTACACTGCATGGCATAAGGAAAATGTTAACAGTTTTGAGGAGAGCAGGATAGCACAATTACACTTCTGAATCAAAAATTCTATGAAACATGGAGGGACCTTTTTTTCCCTTAACACGTGACAAACGCTTACGTTATCAATATTCTGGGCTCGCTTGTGTGCTGTTTCTGCCCCTGCTCTTGCCTTTGTAGCTTGATTCTTGTTCATCAGCATTTTTGACTGCAATGTGGCAATTTCATTTTCCATCTCAGACTGTTTTGCTGACAAGTCATTTAGTTGGTCATTCGTCTTGTTCACTTGGTTCTCAGCCTAAAACAGAGCAATTGAAGGCTGTGGTTTCTTATGCAACATCCATCCAGCATGTTAATGAGGGAGATTAATGTCAACTGATTAAGAAGAGGAGACCATTAAATGTTATGGAATCAGTGTCATATCTGTACCACATTCTGGTTTTATTTAAATTTGCATTAAGGAAACTTCAAGATGAAGTATCTTTTTCTAAAATGTATATACTAAATAAATTAAGAGATTTACAGCAAGATACCTTTGAGATGTGTGTTCTGATGCCTTGTATCTCTTCATTTAACTTTACGAAGGTGTTTTTGGAGTGTTCTTGGGACTTCACAACATTTTTTAGTTTATTATTAATTTCATCCACACGTGGAAGAGCTTTAGCTGCTTTGCTGAAATGGACAAATAGAAGTGCGTGTAGTATCACGGTGTGGACAGCGGAGCAAGAACATGTTTCAAATGCACCCATGCTCCCATGCAGAAATGTTCCCTCAAGGCCAACAACAACCGTTAAAACTGTGGTTTGTAAGTTGGCAAAGCAAAACCTCAGTAAGGGATTTGGTGGGGGAGCACACAAGCTGCTGTATTAAAGGTGAAGCTGGATGCTGCAGGCTGCCTGCTGGTGCACTGCTAGTATGGAAGACTCATAGGTTCTCCCTCCCCAATTCTTGTTGGTTCTTTCTCACCCATATTTAAACCTCCCAGTGAATCAGATGTAATGCTCCACTAGGTCCAACATGGAAGTAAGTAGCTGCTTTGGCCTCTTTGACTCAGCAGGCAGAGGAGCCAAGAGCTGGAGGGAGCTGCCTCCTTGCAGCATGTTGGCTCCCACAGCCCAAGTGGTCATGGCTCACTCCTGCTGGAGAGGCCCTGTGGAAATGGCAAGGTGAAATTTGCTGTCATCTGAACTTTCCCTCCAGTATTGCTAAGATACTGCCTGGGGTATGGAGCAGTCCTACCATGCACAGTGCAACCCGAGCTGGAGTTGGCACATCAATACGAGAATACCCTACTCACTTGGCATCTTGTGCCTCCACCAGCAGCATCTGAGCTTCCTCCCTTTTTCTGTTTATTTCATTTGCGTTCAGTTTGTACTTCTCACAGTGGTTCATAATGCTCCTGATTTTGCCAAACATGCCTGTGAGCTCTCGTGGAGTCATGGAAAGGTTTATTTGTAGAACATAATTTGCCACCTTCTCAATGTCTTCTGGAGGCACACTCTCATCTGCAACAGAAATGGAGCTGAGGGTATACTGGAGCAGCTCTTTCCTCCCAGTGAAATGTAAATGATCATCATGGCTGCCTACTTTTTGAGTTATGTGGGAGAATAAAGCTGACAGGCACAGCAAGGGGGTAAGAGAATTATCTCCAGCATTTTGTAATTTAATATTATGCTTCCAGGTACTGCTGTTAGTGTTGTCAGAACTAGCTAAAATGAGGATTTGAACCCACTTTGAACTGGGTTATTAAAATTCTGGTGTAGAACTGAGCCCACAGAAGGTTTTAAATCAGCGCACAGCACAGCTAGATGTGTCAGAGCCCATTTCTTCCATGGCATCCAGATCAAAGAGGTGCTGGAGAGACTGGGGTGTGAATGGAGCTTTCCAAGCTGGCTGGTGGGTGTAATCCCTTCCCTGCAGTCGCCACAGGATTGAGAAAGTGTTTCCTTCACTGGTTAATGAGAAAGGATAAACTACAAAGGGAACTTGGGTCAGACCTAGATAGGATGGAATTTACAGTAGAAAAAAATGTATTTTGACAACTCCCCTTACAAATGAGCCCTTCCTAGTTCTTTGCTAAGAGGCAAGGCACACAGAGTTAGTCAATGAGACTTGTGAAGTCTCATCATCACTTCTGTTTTCTGCTCACTCCCCTTTATAGACAAGACCTTGGGTGATAAAACAGTTGAAACATATTAAATGTTTGTGCTAGTGCTCCAGAGAATTAAATAGAAGACATTTACTATGCAAACAGTAGTGCATTCCTGAGAGCTATTTTCTATAGAAATATATTCCTCTAAAATTACCATTTACATCAATGTGGAGTACAGCAGATTTAATGTAACTATATGCATCTCCGCTGTTACTGTTCTTAAATTTCAATTAAAAAAAAAAATAATGAAAAAATGCTTTTATAATTGTTAGTAAATGCCATATGTTTACTAAGAAACATAAAAGATGAGCCAAAGGTGGAATTTTCAATTGCTATCAAATACAAATCTGATAATCTTAAGGATTTAAATGGAGTTTTTATTTTAATTTAGTAAAATAACTTAAATGTTCCTGAACAGAGGAAGTCCTCTGTCTTCTGCCCTCACTCCCATTTGGATGTAAAAGTATGAATGCCAAAGGACTGCCAACAACGCAATCCTTAGAAACTTTTGAGATCCATTACATTCACGAGATTTAAAAAAAATCCTACCACATTTGAACTCCTTTGATGTGCATCTGGTAAAAAAACAGGGTCCATTTCTTACAACATTTTTCTCCAATTGTGAGGGTGGAAAAAGTTTTAGGGTATATATGGTTGTTTTGTTATTTTTTTATGAGAGCTGTGAAGTTCTACCAGAACCCTTTGATTCCTCGAGCTATGTACAGCTTTATGGAGACGATAGAGTGGTATGTGCCCTAATTCCCACGCTCCCTACAGAGAGCCTCTATTTATGGGCCTGGAAGAAGGGGGTGGAATAACAATCTGAGCATGCATTGGACATGCCTGGTCATTATAGATTGTATGAAATTATTTTAGTAGTCCTTTGCTCAGATAAACCAGGAACTGAGGAGATTATTTGCATGCTTCAATTAAGTACATCAATAAAGGATGACAATCAGAATGTAACAGATCTATTGGAAAATTAATATAAACTACTGTCACCTGGGAGAAAGAAGCACTAGAAAAGAAGGGATTGCAAAAGATCTCACAGGTCAGGAGAAAAAATTTCATGTGTATACAGCTAGATCATTTTCTGGCCATCTATTATTCTATAGTATTTTGGAATATACATTAAAAATTAGTCAGAAAGAACTTTGCATGTTTACCTAATAAGAAGTCTTTCACTTTTTGGATTAACTCCTTGGTGATCTCTCTGTCAACTTCAATTTGATTCTTAGCCCTCTCCAGTTCCCCAGCAAATTGTGAGCCTTCCAACTTGCTGTCTTCTGCCATTTTTCTAATGTTTTCAACCTGGAAATATAATTAGAAATAGCAGTGCCATTTTCTGGGGGTTATCTATCATTGTTTGGCAAGTTGAGCTCTGAGACAAAAATAATTTTTATCCAAGCCTCAGCTGGAACCACTTGATGTGGCTTTGAAAAGTAGTAGGAGACCCCTTTGGGGAACTCCAGAAGCTGCTACATCACAGCCTTCATCTGGTCTCAAAAAAAGCCTAAATCAAGTATTTTTGTTTTCTCTATTCAACCACTGCTAAAACACAGCCCCTTCTGTTTCTAAAAGAAGGTGCTGACTGTTATATTCTATTGCAGTACTGCAGCATGTCAGTAATCAGATTCAGTACAGAAAAGGCACATAATTTCATTTGCCTTTTCACATTGTACTTACTGTTAATACACTTAAGAGGCCACAAATAAGGAA